GCCGTCGCGAGCTGAGTCCCGCGAACAAGACGCCGGAGACGCACGGAGGCGAGCCGGCGCGAACGAAGCCCGTCGCGAGTCGTCGCGACCCCCCGAAGCCCAAGCCGTCGTCGCGACCCCCCGAAGCCCTAGCCCAAGCCGTCGATCGACGAAAAGAGTGGATAGCATCCTAATATGCAAGAAAACCTTCTTACTATTTTAATAAGAAATTGTTTTTTGTATGAAAATCATGTATTCTATTTTTTGGCAAGCAAAATTGACAACATTAGTATTAAATATGCATTAATGTATTTTCCTTAATATATATTTTATTAAAAAAAACTCAATAATAATTAATTAGACGATTTAAATGTTTTAGGATTTAATGCATAATTTAGGTTACATCAACCACATTAATTTCTAGTTAAATTTCATTAATGACATTCTTTGATGTAAATTAAAAAAAAAAGAATTTTATATTGATATAGATCTTAATCACAATTCAAAGATACAAAATTACAAAGACTTAGAGCATAAAAAAGTGTCATGCATGGCTTGTATCTTATATTCATGCTCCTCTTTCTATACATTGATCATAGTGTATGAATCTAAGATTATTTAGTATTTGCACAGAGCCCAATTAACTACTTTTATATTTTATCTTTTAATGGAAGTGTATTGTAGAGCTCAGCTACATTCAAATATTCTTGGCAAGTTGTGTATTATTTATCCAAATATTTTTTTTTCGCAATTGGTTATTTTTCATCTTTAATAAAAAGAAAATTAAGCCGAACAAGAGTTAATATCTTTTCATGATGCATTTTTTCAAGTAAAACATGTAATCCATCAATAGAATTTCTCTAAAACGTAAATTGCTCACTTTCTAATTTATCATTAAGAGACTACAAGAGTACAAGTGCATGTTTGAGTTCTAGTATATATATAGGGGTGTCAAAATGGCTTTTTGGATCAGGCTCGGGTCACACCCAATACTAACCCGCCTTCAATTGATCCTACCCGAACCTGACCCACCCGATTAGACAAATGAGTTAGAAGTTCATACCCAGACCCAATCCGTCAGGTTACTGGGTTGACCCGACCGACCCGACCAACAAATGTCACGTGTGGGCGGATGCGAGAATGTGGGCATGGGAGGAATCGCATGAGTGTCAAGTGCATGCCAAGTGTGGGAGCGTCCAGTGCGACTGCAAGCGAGGGCGGGACCGCTCAAGGGCGTTATTGCGAGTGGGTGAGGCCGTGTCATCGTGAGTGCGAGAGCATTGTGAGCGCCACGTGCAGGACTTCCGAGGGCGAGCCACTTGTGTAGGTTTTGTGAGTGCATGTGTGCCACTTGTGCGGGGGCTAGTTAGGCGACGAGCGAGGTCGGGGATGAGTTAGCAGGTTAATCCGACTCTACCCGATTTTTCAAACCGGTAAAAAATTGGAATTTGAACCCAACCCATTTGTTGAACTGGTCGACCTAAACCCAAATTTTTTGGGTCGAATTTGAGTTGGATTATCAAACGCAAATCAATTGGCTATCTTATTACTTTAATCTCACTTGCTTTTCCTTTAGGTAATCATTTTCTCATATACTTTTTTGTGGTTTTTTTTTAAACCTGCTTTTATTAAGGATTGAAGTAAGCTCTTTTGCCAAAGGATTTCAGTTAATATGTTTCTGTGGTTTGTGAAGTTATTTTGTAATATTCATATAAAGTTGCATATGCCAACCTTGCCTTGCAGTCAAAGTAAAGAAGGCAATATGCTTTATACTTTTCTTCCTATGAGAAAAAAAGAGAGGATGTATATTACCTTGTATTCAAGTAAGATGGAAACTCTTTGCTTTATGCTTCTGCAGTACATAACAAGAAGCTACTTATATAGGGCTTTCGTTAGCTGTCTTATGGGGGAAATAAAAATTGCTATCTCTTCAGCTTTTGTTGCTCATTTGTTGAATGCTTTAAATAGGTGAGCCACCTCTCCAACTCTTGAACTTATTTTGATTAATGTATAAGTTTGCTTATGAATTTGAGTTGCAGTATTTTTATAGATTATTCAATAAATGCAGAGGTCAAGTTTATAGATATATTATAGCTAGCAAATGGTGAAAATTTGAGCTAAGATATTTTGATAAAAAATGTATTATTATGGATTTTAAAGCTATTGATTTTGCTTTTAGATGGGCATTATGCCATTATGTATGTGTAATGAATAAAAATTTGTATTGTACTCATCTCAAAGTAAATTACTCAGCTTTGAAATTATTATCATTTTTTTTCTATAGCTAGCAATGGCTTTAATAGATGTTCTATATTAGAATTGTCACCCATATATGAGATTATTGCTATAATAATCAACTTCTAAGATATTTAATTTTGAAAAATATTATCACTAAATAAAAAAATTACTATAAAACCTAAAACAAATCGTATTTTTTTTTTAAATATCAATATTAAATTTATTCCAAAAAAATTGCTAAACAATTTAATGATGCAAAATATTTTGTTAGTTTATCATCAATTATTTTTTAACATTGTAGTTTTCTTGTGAAGGATCAATGGAAATCCCGCTAAAATACAAACAATTGTGGAACAACTGGGATGTTCGTGTCTTGATTTTACTCAGCCTATCTATCCAAATAATTCTTATTTTCCTTGGCCGTATGAGAAGAAATTCCACCTCGAGATGGATACAAATTGTCGTATGGGCCAGCTACTTGTTTGCTGACTGGGTTGCTGACTTTGTCCTTGGCCAACTAAGTAGCTCCATGGATGATTCCTCCTCCTCCAACGTTGTCCTCGCTTTTTGGGCTCCCTTCCTCATCCTCCATCTTGGTGGCCCTGACACTATCACTGCCTACTCTACGGAAGATAATGAACTTTGGGCTCGCCATCTTCTCGGGCTTGGTTACGAGCTTTTTATTTCCTTTTATGTTCTCTTCCGATCCCTTCCAAATACTCGTCTACTCGTACCCACCCTCTTGATATTCTTAGTCGCCATCATTAAATATGTAGAGCGCTCTTACTCACTTTACAAAGCCAGTGTTAAAGGCATTCAAAGTTCTGTCAGCTCCTCCCATATAACACTATCAACAAAAGATTTGAATGCTTTGGTTCAAGCTTTTTGGTTATACTCTGTTATTAAGCCTTATTTTGTTGATGTTTTTCCAATCTTGCCTCAGTATGATGAAAGTAAAAATATTGTCACGGAGATGTCAATAGAGGATGTTTTGATGGTTTTGAGAAAGGATCTTAGTTATGCTTATGATGAGTTTTACACTAAGGCCATTGTAAATCACTCCATACCTGGGTATGTTCTCCGAGTTATCTGCTCTACTTGCATTTTGTTGGCTTTTTCACTCTTTATTTTAGAACCAAAGGATGATTTTAATAACCTTGATGTAGCCATCACCTATGTCCTACTTACAACCTCTATATGCCTCGACTTTATGGCTACTATCATGCTTATACTCTCCGACAGAATGATAGTTTCTCTCCTTAATGTTAAGAAGTTGAGGTATTGGAGTGTGTTGCTTGCAGAATATATTATGAGAATTAAAAATACATGTCATAAGAGAAGTTATTGGTCGATAAAGTTGCCGCAATTGAATATACTCATTAATTGTCTCTCAATTTCTTCACCCAATAAAACTCTTCGACAGAGTATGATGAGTTGGGTTGCAAAAAAGTTGAGCTTCGTGCAAGAAACAAAGTTGTATATGTTTTGGGCATTAACAAAACAAGAAACTTACACATTGCAGACAATGCAGCCTATACAGGCAACACAAGAGGTTCTAGAGATCATTGTTGCCCATTTAAAAAGACGCATGAATTACCCAGTAGAGGAATTAAACAAACCAGCTGGCTCCCTTGCCCTTCAACAAGTAAGAAACATTGACGTTGATTGGGCTGTAGTGCCATTTGTTCAGCTTTTTGAGAGGTTATCATTTGACCAACAAGTTTTGATATGGCACATCACTACCGAGCTCTGCTTCCATTGGAATCCAGTGTCTCTACAACCCTTGTCTCCTCATCGAATTGAGATGAAAGTAGAGGAAAATATTTTTGAAGGAGTAAAGAGAAAGAGCTCAAAAATGGAAGCTTGTAAGTATTTGTCCAATTATATGATGCACATGGTGATGATACGATCAGAAATGATGTCTACCATGGGAGGACTGAGCTATATGCTATTCCGGGAGACTATTGAAGAAATGGTTGAGTTCATTCGTGAGAGTTGTGATGGCCATCAACTGCTAAAGCCAAATGAAAAAGTTGATGAGGTGTGCATGAAGATGATAGCGACTCCAATAGAATTTAACGACCTTACTGCATCTTTGTTTGGTACAGCACGAGTACTTGCTCGTTTGATGTTAATTCTTAGGGAGGAAGAGAGATGGCAAGTCATAACCACAGCATGGGTAGAGCTTTTACAGAAAGGGGCGAAGGATTCAAAGGCAAACATACATATGAAGCAGCTGAGTAGAGGAGACGAGCTCTTGACTTTCATGTGGCTTTGCAACAAACATTTAATGTTAGATGATATGCATGTGCGTGGAATTCATGACATGGCTGGTTTACATGAGAAGGCTAAGCATCTCATCTCTGAGATCGAACTTCATTTACAGGATCATACATTTAATTAAGACTTTTATATTTTATTTTTTATTGTAAAAATAATAATAAAATAACATACTTATTTAATTAAAATTTTAATACTTTAATATTTTAAAAGGATTCTTATTAATAAGAAGCCTTTTAAAATATTAAAATATTGGCGAAGGGATCACTTTTTTCTTTCTTTGAATGCTAGTTTTATTGAACGTTGTTGGATCAAAATATTAGTAAGAATAAAAAAAATGCACCTCTGAAATGAAATGTTAATATATTTATTTCTGTCCTAAAAAGATCTCTCGAAGGCTTCTTCAATAATATTGCTCTGATACTCTCTCATACTTTCCCTCTGCCATGTCTTCGGCAAATCCTTAAGAATTCTTGGGTCTTGACCTCCCTCCCTACTCAAGGAATCTCTAGCTTGAGCCTTTGATCTTATTATTTTTTTCCAAAACAATTAAATCTTATTATATAATTTAGCAAATTATAGTAAGACTATCATATCGAATAATTAATTGAGAAAAAAATAGCTTCACATTTAGAACATTTTCATCATAATTTTTTTTGATATATTTTAATTCAGAGTAATTAACTTTACAACCTTCAAATTTTAACTATTGTGGATCTGTATGTAAATCATTAACTATTTTTAATTTTTACTGTGAATTTCTCTGTAAATTTGCTTATATGTTCAAAATCTTTTCTGGATATTCCATGGTATTTCGTTGAGTGCAATATAAGATGAATCCGCTTTTTCTATTATGTACAATTAAGATAACTCAATATACTAAAGAATTCATGTAATGATTGTTCGATAACTTTTATAATGATTATTGGCTATCTAATGCAACATTTTATTTTTCTCATATAAAACTTGAGACTTAACAATGACAGAGCCAAATAAATTACAATAAAAAACTTAAATAGTTTTTTTTAGTTTTTTTTCCTTAGAAAATATTTTTTTCTTACAGAATAGTTGTCAACTTAGGACAAACTTAAATATAATAAAAAATAAAAGAAAAATAGAACACTTTCTCTTTATATTTTAAGATTTTATGAATCTTCACACCACCAACGTATAGAGATCTTTATTCATCCTTATAACATGAAGTATATTATTAAACTAGCTAGCTGCTAATCATCATCAACCTTGAATCTTGCAAGAGTGGTCAGAACAGCATTGAGAGTCTCTCCAATCGTATCTTCTTTACCCTTCAGAGATGGTATTAGCGCATAAGCCTCCTCACAGCTCTCCGGACAAGAATTCGCTATCATGCAGATCTCCCAATCTGTCGCTCCATACTCCTTCAGCCTTTCTAAGGCACGTTTAACAGACTTTGTATCTGTGTAATGCACAGCATTATCTTTGGAGTACTGTAGCGATTTTGGAAAAGATTTGGGTATTGAGATGTGCATATTCTTTAGAGACGACTCTAAACGTGCTTCAATCCCTTGCAGAATATCTGCTGCCTCACAATCTGCAATCAATTTAGCGCCTGGTGGAAGTTCAAATTCCTCCTCCTTCACTTTCTTTTTGGCTGCTGAAGGCTGAGCTGAAGGAGTGGGCCTTTCATTCTCGTCGGAATCGGAGGAACTTATTACAATCGGTTCTTTCTCTTTGTCGGAATCAGAGGAGCTTATTATGATCAATGGACGAGCGGCTTTGCTCTTGCTTCTTCTTCGAGTTGCTCCCCATTGCGGAATCACCTCTACTTTGCCCTTATCCCTTCTTCTTCTATCCGCCATAAGCGAGTGCTGGCTAGCTAGCTCAAATGCTGGAAAGACAATATGAGAAACATTGAAGATCTTCATGAATTGTGTTGTTGATCATAGGAAGAAATTAACAACTCGATCAGATTTTCATCAAGTTTTTTAATTATTCTGTAGCTCCATCGAGCATTGGTGGGCTGAAAGTTTTTTTTAAAGACCTTATAATTCTATTTTTATATAATTAATGCTTAGGCTCCTTCATAAATTTTCCAAAAAAAAAAAAAATATTCTGCTAATATTTTGTATTGTATTATAAAAAGGCAGAAAGCTATTTCAAAGAAATTTTTTATTTAGACCGGTTGATTTTTATTTTTCCTGTGCTGTAAAATAAAATTGTTCTAAATATTTTTATACAAATGCTATCCTTACTGCAATAACCGATAAATTATGTCCACCAAACATAGAAAAAATACACACATTCTAAATTATATTGACTTTTATTTAGATGATTGAGCAAATTTGGACAAATATTTTTATTTGGTTATTTATACTAAGTGAACTATATCAATTTTGATGAAAATTAATTTATAAGTGCATTTATGTTTAGTAATAAGTCCATGATTAAATTATTACAAAATTAAATTTAGCTAGTTAGGCTCAATAAAAAATTTGATTAATAAGTTTGAATAAAGTTTAAAACACAAGCTAAATTCAAGCTCAATATGAACTCTATTAAAAATAATAATAATAATAATAATAGAGCATTTAGCTATTTTCAATTTGTCTATAACCCTTGAGATATCACATGATACATAAGTGTTCAATTCAAATTTGTCTATGAATTCTATGCTATTAGCTATTTGCCTTTTTTTTTTTTGTAGCTGTATTATTTGCGGATGCTTTGGTTTGTTGCTGTTGGTTGGAAGTTTTATTTTTTGCTAGAAAGATGGTGTTGATTGCCTGTAATTAGATCTTTCTTTTTTGGGTGTTGTCTCCTGGCCGCCCTAACATGTTACTAGGTTTTCTTATAATTTTGTTTAGACGAAACTTTTGACTCGTAGGTTTTTTTTTTTTTTTTTTTTTTTTTTTTCCTTCGGGCCAACGCATCGTCTCAATAGGGTAGAAATGGCAGATAGCTGAAGGTTTCCCATAAGGACCTTATAATTTCGTTTTTAATTAAAGCGTAGGCCCCTACGAAATTTTAACCAAAAAAAAAAAGTTCATGAATTGCATGCATCCATGCCTTAACACCTAAGATTGGCTATAAAAAAATAGAGAAATAGAGAGATAGAAGAGAGAGAGGGAGAGAATTCTATGATTTATTATTACCAAAATGTAGAGAGATCAAGAAGATAATTTTTTTTTCTATGGTGTCCTTAGATTGGCTTGTAGACCCCTCTTATTTATAAGTGATAGAGGCAATGCTAATGCTCTATAGAAAAGTTACATTAAATGTAAATGCATGAATTACAAAATATGACCAAATAATGACTTCCAACAAAATAGGAGGTATATATGATAATTATGTTGCATTAATCATATTAAATATGCATTTAAAGTTTTACAAATAATGGGCAATTAACCCACTGGAAGCCATTGGACGACTTCACATGGGTTGACCTAGTTGTGGCATTGGATGAACTCACCTAGTTGGATTTTGGGGGCCGAGCAGATTGGGCCGATTGGCAAGCTGCTTCGAGCACTTCCGTCGTTTAAATCTTAGGTCGACTAATATTTTTTTTGGACATCTAGATCAATTAAGACAAATTCATACTCACGTCACATATATAAGCTTCAAATCCAAAACCTCTGAATTGGTAGCCAAAACTCTTAAACACTAGATCAAGATGAACTTTGTAGGCGGACTAATGCTTTGTAGCTAGCCTTTGAACTCTCTGATGGAGATGACTTTTTATCAGATTTATCTTTATCATGTTGGGCTGAACAAAATGTTAGAAGCTTTATTTTACTTTCTATTGATCCAAAATATTTTGAGCATGCCTGCTTACAAATAAAAAAATTAGAAGGACAGATAAACAATATAAAGACAAATAAGCGAATGTATGGAAGAATTTATTTCTGTTTATTTTAATTATTTTTTGGCATTACATACACACACATACGAGAGATATGACAAAAGAAAGCTATATTTTCTGGTTTTTGAAGCTTGAGCAAATTATTTTCAATTGATCATCACTTTGATTTGGGCATCAGAAGATATGTTTGTTTCTAAAATTTAATTTTTAATGTTATTTGCACTACAGGAAAATCATTCATTACCGGTGGTAATTTCCAGAATAAATGCGTAGAAAATGAAAATTGGCGGCCAATTTCTGGCGGCAAAATTTTCCAACAGTTTTTTGGCGGCTCAAACAGCCGGAAATTAATGAACTAAAGCCAATGTAAACACCCGGAAAATTCCAACGTGAAAAGCGCCCGTAATTTTCTTACCACCGATATTTCCGGCGGCCAAACCGCCAGTTAGCCACCGATTATTACTGACAGCAAAACAAAAAATCCGGCGACAACTTCATGTTGTTCGGTATCGGCGGCTAAAACGCCTGTTAGCGACTGGAAACCTATAGAATTTGCAAAAAAAAAAAAAAGACAACCCCTCCTCTATTTACACAAATTTCCACAATTACATGCACTCAGTTCAAAACATATATAAAACACTTTTGATGTTCCAAAATCAACAGAGTAGTTCATTTGAAAAAAAATAATACACAATCAACAATCAACAGATATATTTACACAATCCATAATAACCAGATACAGTTCTTTAAACAAATAACAATATATATGTTCAACTGACTATCGAAAATGTTGTTTAGTAAACTATCGAAAATGTTGTCAGTATTTAGTGAATTTCCTGTAGTGTTGGTGGGCATTTTTTATTTTTTTTTTCTTTTGAATAATGATATGGTTGACTCAAAATTTTATTGTAGCTTGAATAAATTGCCTTAGTTTGTGGTTTCAATGATTGAATAAATGACTAAAATTTCTTATTAGTGGGTACTCTTAGTTTGTAGGTTTTATTTTGATTTGTTTTGTAGCTGGTCAGAATATTAGTGAGCTGAAGGTCCCTTAAAAGACCTTGCATTCTCCTTTTTAATTAACACGCCTCCATGGATTTTCCAAAAAAAAAAAATTGATGATTGTTTCCCTTCTACGCATGAGTTCCTTGTAACCTTTTTTCAATTTTACTGTTTTATGTTTGATTGCTCTATTATTTTGCAATTTCTTGATTTTCTTTCTAAATTTTTATTGCTGATCACTTGTTTGCAGTTTGTTCATTCTACAGCTATTTTTCATCTGTCCATAACTTCTCGATGGATTATTGGGTTCCTGTAGTTACTGAGGCATCTTCAGAATCATTGAAATTTTGTGATTGAAGATTTACTAACTTCTAATTTTGTGATTAAATTCTCTAAAAAAAAAAAAAAAAACTCTCAATGCCAAAAAGTGCTATGAAGTAATAATAATAAAAATACAAGTTCAATTCATATATCATATTAGGAGACAAGTCACAATAAAATATATATGGCAAAACATTAGTGTGATATATATGCTATGATGATGATGATTTGTGATTTTAACATATAATGGCTCCTGAAAAAAAAAAAATTTCTTATGTCAAAATACTGACTATTATACCAAAATCTAGTAGCCCAACCATAAAGCAAGAAAAAACAATGACTATTATACCAAAATCTAGTAGCCCAACCATACTGCTCTCTATTGTTTATTACTCGGGCACTTGGGAACACAACACCGGGGAGATCAGAAACACAGTGTTGCGGAGCTTGGGTAGGTAGCATCAAAGCACTCTAGAATACACTACAGGAAAATCACTCATTTCCGGCGGCAATTGGGCATTTTCCGGCGGTTTTGTAATTTAGCGGTGGTTTTCCGGCGGTTCAAATGCCGCCGGAAAACAACGCGTAGGAAAATAAATTCCGGCGGTTTTTTCCAACGGCAAGTTAGTCCGGCGGCTTACCGGCGGTCTTAAACCGCCGGTCAAATTAAAAATTAATTTTAAAATGAGAATTAATTAAATAGTTAATATAAGTTTTAATAAATTTTTGTTAAATCATTTACATAGTAAAAATTTTATTCATTTTCAATAAATTTTTTAAAGTCGCCAGAAAATTCCGTGAGAAAAAACCGCCGGAAAAGGGACGAAAAGCTGCCGGAAACGTGACCGCCGGAAGCCGCCGGAACACAGCGCTGGGGCGCTCAAGCCTTTGTATTAGCACCAGAATCTAAGCAGAGGATAAACCCCTCGCACCCCCATTATACATGACAAGCTTTGAGGTTCGAGACAACAGAATAATGTAGATTGATCAACACAATTGGATTCCACACATAACAGATGAAGTAGTTCCTCTTTTTTTTGGTTAAAACCAACAGTGGGGCCTACGTATTAATTTCAAAATTTTGGTTATATAGTCCTTAGAAGGATCCTCCAGCTCACTAATGCTCAAAAGAGCTACAAGATAAAAAGAAAGAAAACCTACGAGCCGATGGTTCCTTTTACTATGATTACAATAATGATCTAATATGTAACTCGGGCTATGAGCATACAAGACCCAAAAAAGGAAGGTCAGATATATCTCGTTCAGCACATCCCTCCTACAAAAATGGAGAACAAAGTAGAGAAGCAAATAAAACAACCAAAAAAGAAGTACCTTGCTCATGTTGAAGCTCTCAAAACCAGATTTATCCCTACAAGGTACTCTCCAAAAAAAAAAAGATTAGGCATATAATAGTTTAAAAAAACAATATAAAAACTCTTATAATTAAAAAGAGTACTACATTTTTTACCAAAAAACAATCCAGCATAACCCAGTTAAAACCAAAAAACTTCCAGCACTTACCAGAAACCAAAGATTGTAAGAGATAGCAAGAGTATGCTAAGTACTGTAAAGCTAAGAACCTCATAACAAACCACCTCCAGTGGCGCAGCAGACTAAACGTCCAAGGAATTATGCAATAATTAGTAGTGTAACCAAAACCAAATGAGATCCTGTCCA